AAAGTGAACATGGACTACTATTTGATTCTGTACTTTAAAAGAAAATGTTGGCTACCATGGCCTTTTGTAGGGGGAAGAATCCTGAAAATATACCCTGAGAATGGCGACTAGGTCAGGAGTCTCAGGGAAAAGCTGAGGGGAAACGGTTTGTTCCTTGCTTGGAACTCAGCTTAGGACTAACCAGCCCAGAGAACTTTGAGAAGGCAGAAATGGAGATTACTTGTTTCTGGGATCAGGATTCAGCTAAGATAAAGTTCTCCAAGAAAATTTCTGTAGCAGTTGGTGGAATAAGAGTCTCTGAACTCAAAAGCAAGCCAATGCACGCATGCAAAAACATTTGCAATTGTTTAGTTGAACAACGACTGCCTTAATAGTACACCATTAGGCAGTGGGCCAAGAGGCAAAAGTATTTGTAAATAGGGTTTGCTAATTTTTTCCACTGGCGAACATAGCAAAAGAAGGAGGGAGGAGTTAGTACTCTGAAGAGACAGTCAGACTGGGAGCACAGGTCCCTCTAGGCTTTTGAGCAGAATCCCTCTGCAATCCATATCCCAAATGCAAATAAGAAGTTTATCTCTGGGTGTTTGTATTTTTGTGTGTGAGTGTGTGCATAGCAGGGGGATATAAAGAAGGCATGGTAAGGAGACATTCCTCCAGCTCAGAAACAGGAGCTGTAGGGTAGCAAGAAATGTAGGAGGAACTTTCCCTAGAAGGATGTCAGGGACTAATTGAGAAGTAGTCAATGCTGGATATTTCTTCCCGGAGACCCATCCTTTGGAAGACTCTCTCACATGTTGGTGGTAGGGAGCTGATGGGGTGGCTGTGTCCCTACCCCAGCTCTCTTCCCTCCCCTCCATGGCTTACTCCTGGCTGTGGCTGTGGAAGGAATTCTCATCCTAGAGTGACACTCTGGAGCATACTGAGATAAAGGGATTTGGGAGGTTGGCAGCAGAACCCCTCAGCAACTGGGCCTAGGGAAGGTTTGCTGTCTCCCTCTGACACATGGCTCAGAGATGTCCCTTCCACAACCTTTTTTTTTTTACAGAGAAAATCCTCTGTGCAGGTTCGGTCTGTTCTGTGGCTGTTTCTGCTGTTCCCACCTGTGTGGTGAACCTGAGCTATGTGCTGTGGACAGAGAAACACAAGGAGGTCATCAGGGGTGTCACTTCTATAGAAATCCTGAGACCGAGTACTCAGGCTTGGAGTACAAGCTAACAGTTTGTTCTGGTTGCAAGCAGAAGGGCTTTTCACAGGAGTATTAAAGTATGGGTCGAAATTTTGTAAGAGCATTTGTCTCCTTTCTGACACTTGCTCATCAGATCTACTTTTGCACCCACCTGTGCTGCTCCTTGCCACAGCAAGAATAGACTTGACTGAGACACTATTTACTGCAGAAAAGAACAGGCTATAAAGATTTTTTTTTCTAAATGGAATGATTTCCTCAAATTCACCATCCTATTGTTAGTGTTTCTTCTTGACCTTGAAGCACAATGATTCATCTCTTTGATGTACACACATTCAGTATCCAAACAAGTGATACTTGTATCTTAACTGGACAAACTGAAGCCTTTTCCAGGTGGAGCTTATCTGAAGACTGAAATCAGTTTGACTTCAGATTAGACTCAAACTGTGAACAATTTGTATCTAAACAGTGAAAAGATGAATCTTGCACTGTTCACAGTGTGTGAACACACATTGTTCATGTGAATAATATAAACTCTTACAAAAAACTAAAGGTGGTTAATGATAAACCTCTAGTTAACAGTTACCTTAAAAAAAAATAAAAAGGCATCTTAAAGGTGATGAAAAGGAACTAATGTTTTATGCAAATCATGCCAGTATTTCAGCAGAACTCTCTCAATCAGGATCTGCTCTTCACCCTCTGAAACAGTCTGACCATGTGCAAATGAAAAAAAGAAAAAAAAGAAAGAATCCAAGGGGGGGCTTCACAGGTAGCACCAATTTCAGAGGGGACTGAGAGCAGAGGAAAACCAAAATGTGTTAAGCTAAAATCATCACATGTTGGCTAACAATGCCCTACTAGCATATTTAGGTTTTCTGTAAAATGTTTTGCACCACAAACTCCTTACTTACACAAGAGCTGAGAAAATGTGTGACTGTTTGAAAGAGCTTTGGGTGTCCCTCCTTTTTAAAACCAAACGTTGTGCTGCATCCTTGATGGTGTGTGGGAGTGGGGAGTGGGTTCTTGGGGCAGTAAGACAGTTTGGTGAAGGTCCAAGCACAGTTTTTTACATCTCCTTTTCCACTTCTCTGCTGCATGCCTGAAGACTTCATGTTTTACCCATCTGGATGTGGGAGCATGAGGCAAACTCCCTCTCAGTTCACTGATATTCACTAATTAAGTGAACATGCAGCACCTTTGCACCTTCTTTATTTGGGAGGGGATGTGGGAGACACACAGGAACAAGGCAGGGTAGTTAAAACACCTTTGGCCTCCACCAGACCTCTCCCATTCCTCCAGTTTGGTCTGGGGGCTCTGCCGCCTGTGTTTGCCTCCAGACTTGGGGCTGCAGAAGCCTAGATCCGCTGAGCTCAAGTTGTACTTACATTTAATAACTATTGAAAGAAGAAAAGGTCATGGGTTGATCATTTTCAGAGTACAGAAAGTTGCTTACAGGGAGATTGAGAAGGAACCCCCCAGCTCACTGCTTTTGTGGCTTGTGACAGAATCCCACTAAAAACAATTTGTGATTTATTTCAGCTGCATAATAATATTACAAAGTAATAAAAATAAAGGCATATTTAATGATGTTCTTCCATTAAATGGTATGCCCTGGCTGTCTACCAATGGCTTTACAGACCTACTGGCGCCTGTGTCAAGACTCTTTTCTTTCAGCATGGGGAGAGACATTAAATACCATGATAGAGTCCTACGTACCACCAGGTTATGCTGCACAATTAATTTCCATTAGACAAATAATTTTTTTCTTTTCCTTGGCCATTACTACTTTGTTATGCTAATAAATATGCTTGTGCAGTGGGACCCAATTTAAACAGTAACTTTGCTGGACACAGCCAGAATGGGACATCTGGGTCTCATCACAGCCAAAGGTCTTTTCCCTCACTGTCTCATCTTCACAGCATATCAGTGCTCTCAAGCACTGGTCTCTTCAAGTGTCCAGAATACATTTGTTATTTTCATTATTAGCTGAAAAAAAATCAGGCAAAGCACGTTCAGAAGAGGACAAGAAGAAGGATTTTCAATTGTAAAGGACACAGGAGAAAAAATGAGGAGAGGAGTTACCACAGTGGGGTAGAAATAATTTGTTGACATCCTCCTCAAAGTTTTTAGAAGCATTTTACAAACTGTATCAGATCATTTCTCCAAAACAAACACAAAATGCTCTTGGGCAAGAGCACAGGGGCTTGTGCTTGCTGTCCTGGTAAGGAGATACAAGAGATACAAGAGGTGGATCCTACCCCAAACAGAGGTTCATCAGGCGAGGGCTGAGCAGGCAAGACTGCAGCTCACAAAAGGTTCAGTGTCAAAACCCAGTGTCTGGGGAAAGTGCACTTACATGTGCTTGTTGAAATCTCCATTTTCTGTGTTTCCTGAGCCATTGGGGAAAGGTTAGAAGTTCCTCTCAAGTGGTCAGAGTGAGGTGAGCAGCTTGTACTCCCATGTGCTGACTGGCTGCAGAAGGAAATGTAGTTTTGTGTTCTCACATGTTGTGCAGTGTGAGGTGAAAGCCATGAAGGTCCTTTCTGCCATGGAAAGGGCTTGGTTCATCTCTGGCTCACAGATAGTTTCCCGCAGAGTTACCAGAACCACTTTAATAGTGCTTGTGCTTTCCTTGAAGGTTTCCCATCCAAGGATCCAGCAATTTTGACCTTGGTTGATTATTCCTAGAGGGAGCCTACACACCCAGCATCCTCCTACATGAAACTGCTCTGCAAGGTGAATCCCATCCTGTTCCAGAGGAGAACAAGGAGCCTGGGAGCAGGGAGAGAAGTTCTGCCCACTTGCTGCATCTTGGCTTCCCCCATTCTTAAGCCAGACCTTGAACTACCCATGATTTTAGGCTGAAGAAGAGAGTTTGGCACCTGTCACTTTTCCATTTACAAATTAGTAGTCAATACTGAATGTGTTTTATTCATTTTTATCCTCTTCTCATAAGATATTGTTTGTTTATTATTTATACTGTTCATATGAACAAAGCATAAATGATTACACCAAGTTTTCTGCCAAGCAATTTTGGTGCACTCCAGAGAGAGTCCCTCCTCATGCCAGGATCACATCCAGTTATAGGTAGTGGAGACCTTTTTGGGAGAGGTAAAAAGATGAATTCTTCAAAGAGTCTTCTGGCTCTTCAGGTCCTCAGCAGGGGACGAGAAAGAGGAGGAGGCAGAGGAGGAGAAAGAGAAGAGGAAAAGGAAGGAATGAAGAAGGAGAAGGGGAAATAGAGAAGGGGTAGGAGAAGGAGGAAGACAGATGGGGGAAAGAGGTGAAGGAGAAGGGAAAGCAAAAAGAAAAAATGAAAATAAGGAGGAGAAGGTGTAAAAGGAGAAGAAGGAGAAGAAATAGAAGAGAAGAAGGAAGAAAAAGAGGAAAGGAGAATGAGGAGAAGGAGAAGGAGAAGGAGAAGGAGAAGGAGAAGGAGAAAGAAGGAGAAGGAGAAGGAGAAGGAGAAGGAGGAGGAGGAGGAGAAGAGAGAGCCCAACATTTTTCCCTTCCCACTTTGCATGTTAGTGAAATTGCAGGTCTGCCCAGTCCTTTGATAAAAACATAAGATCCCGAGTAGAGGGTGTGTGATTCAGGGAGATTGGCTCGTCTGGTGCAGGGCCTAACCTTTTATCTGCCTTGATCGCTCCTCCACAACCTCTTTCAAAAGCTCTTTTTCTGCGCTGTAATGCTCTGCCAATCATAATTTGCATTTCAGAACACATGAAAGAACTGTTTCCTGTCTCTGGTGGAAAAAGGGAGGGGGAGGGTAAAATGTATTTAAAGTCAAACTGAGATTTTTCTTTTAAAGCCTGCTACGGGAAAACAAAAGACGTTTCCATTCCGGGCGCAGCTCTGGAAGCAGTCGCAGGCGGGAGGTGTTGACAAATCGTGTGCACGGGGTTACGTTCCCGTTCTACTCGAGCGCCAGCTCTGCCATCGGGTAGGATCGGTGATCCCGGGCCGTGCACATCGTACAGGTCTGATGGCACAGCCACTGCATCCATCCATCCATCCATCCATCCATCCATCCATCCATCCATCCATCCATCCCCGGCCTCGCTGGTCAATACTGGCTGGAGAGGGTGGCACAGAACCCCCCGAACCGAAGTGCTGGAAGTTCTCTCTCCTGCAGGCACCAGCACTTGAGCGGGTTCTGGGTGCCGGCGGGGAACAAAAGCGCTCTGACGGCACTGGGATGCTAGGTCCCCGAATGGAGGTGCCGGTGTGTGCCCAGCAGCTCCCCCCAGCACTCGGCTAATCTCTATTACATATCTACAGACAAAACAGCTACTTGGCATCGTGCAGCGGATGTCTGCAACTTCTGCCAGGACGCTGAGGCCAGGAACTTGGGTGGAGACAGGAGCTAGGAGGTCATCTGGGGTTGCTGCTCTTTGTTAGAGCTAAATAATGTTGTGAATGTATTAAGCTCCTTTCCATGCACTGTTTTTTTTTTTTCCCAATGCCTCCAATAGCATTCCCCCCCCCCCCCCCCCCCCCCCCCCCCCCCCCCCCCCCCGCCCCGGGCTGGATTCATGTACAAATACGCAAAGCATAGCAATATGCTAATTTGCACTTAGCATGAAAGCCTGAGTTTGACCTTTTTTTTTTTTTTCGGAAAAATGGACCAACATACTTCCTGCAAAGGCTTGCTCTGTGAGAACAGCAACTTAGGTGCTTTGCCATTTCCTCACTTTTAGACACTGATCAGTCACCTTCACAAAACTATCAGATGATCTCATTCCCTAAGAGAATAAGTTTGGTTGGTTTTTTTTTATAACTGAAGGTGAGCTGAAGAAAATTGTGGCACTGGAATTGCAAAGATGCAGCTGGATCCCAAAACCCTGCTGAGCACAGGAACATTGATGGAAACTGAAAAGTGGAGACTGAAAAATGGCATGAGTAAGATCTGCATTTTATACAACTGATGCTATTAAATGAGTTCTGTGGCTGCATGGATGCATCTGCTTGTTCTGAACTATTAGATGCCAGAGTGTTTATATTTATATATATATATATATATATATATATATAAAATTGAGTAGTTTGTGTGGATCTCCTTCTTAAAACAGCATGCAGATGACAGGAGGTTAACAGTTCAGCAATCCAAATGACAGTTGCTTTCCTTGTTAGATTACAGGAAAATGGTTTGTTACATAGAAAGAGTAAGCCATTTACTATCAAGAAAATCAAAGTTCCTGGGTGCATGTACACATGGAGTTCAGGGTTTCACAGCAAAGTCTCCACTGCTGAGTCTGATGCTTCCATGGCTTCTTCCTTTTTCTATTCAGGTATTCTTTTACTCAAATATGTGCTGTCTATTGAATTGCACCTACCCCCTGCTACCCTGCCTGAGGTTCACCGTCATGGGAGATCTGTTGTTAAGGTTGACATAACCAGGCTTTTTGGTGGTTGGCAACTGCCCTATTCTTCTCCAGACTGGACAACATCTGTGAACATCCCCATTACATTCTTTCTTCAGCCCTGTTATTTTAACCGGTCCCTTCCCTGACAGATAGCACAGAGTAAGACAGAAAAATCACAGGCCCTAAAACATCACAGGTGTTCTCTGCAGTCACCTCTGCCGAGCCTGGCATGACGTGTTTGGGGTGGGATGCAGAAAATAGGGCTGGACATAAAAATCCCACCATGGATGTCCTTGGCAGTCCTGGGGGAGGTTGTAGCACATATTCTGCAAGGCTCCTCTCTCAGGAGAAGCTTTGTGTTGTTATATAAAAAGCATCACAAGCATTATGCACCACCCACCTGCTGCTCCTGTTCACCCCTGGAACAGGATTGCTTTGTATCAGGACAAAAAGTGCTTGAGTCTGAGATGCAAATACCCCTGTTATCTCCATATGTTTATCTAATGACATAAAACATCTTATTATTTCTTAAATAATAAATATGTACTTTAATAGTTTTTTTTCCCCTGGAGCCTTGCTGGATGAAAGGTGTCGTTACTTAAAATATTTTTTTCATGGCTATGTTTATCCAGACTGTGACACCCTTTTCCAGAGACATTATCTAATTCTAGCATCTGAAAGAATCTTTGAATAATATTTTGTGGTAACCATAAATAACAAAGGGAGGAAGATTGTGGAAAGATAAAAAGGTTGATCTTGATTTGCAGCAGGCAAGCTAAAAATTCCCTGCAGTCCCTCAGTCCTACATCCCAGTCTCTTTGTGCTGCTTTGCTCTTTAATAATGTCTTATTTTCTTTAACAAAAAAGAGGACAAGACAAATTGTCTAGCCACAAGAATTTGAACAATGCTTTTAATCTGTGAAGAAATGTACTGCACTGCTTGGATGCCTTTAAAGTCTATTATTGCAATATGTCAGCAAAAGGTGTATTTGTAGAAGGGAGAGCTGTAGCTTAATGTAACTACACCATAAAGTTATTTATCCCTGCTGGGCTTGATTTACAATCCTCAATAACTTCCCTGATTTTTTTTTCTCTAAGAAACCTTGAGGTGGTGCCTGCAGAGGTGGAAGCAGGGGGTGATTCACTGCTCCTCACCCCTGGTGCTGCCCTTGTCTCTCAGCCAGACAAGCTGGTTGATGATTAATTTTAATTCTTCTCTAATTAACATGAGTTATAAGAAAAATGAAATTTCACTGCACCTTTTAATCTGAAATACACTGAGCAGAACAAGCTTTTCTTGAATGGAAATAAACATTTTCACCCTAAGGACTGGTGACATCTTGATGATCTTTTTGCACAGATCAAGTGCCTGACATGGGCCTGCCTCTTCCCCACTGGCCTCCAGCTGTGTCCTTCCTCCCTTAGCCTGAGGTACTCTGCTTTACAGGACCCCCACATCACTGATGGGATCTTGTGTGCACATCTCTGTCAGACCACATGAGTGGGCTGGGGAGTAGATTCCATAAATCCATGCAGAAGAACAGGGACTCTGATCATGTCTCATTTCCCATCAGGGGAGACAGTACCACGGTGCTCTGGGACCCAGCCCAGCCCTGTGCCCTGACAGACTGGTGGGAGCAAAGGGTATCAAAAAGAGTTTCCCATTAATTCCCGGAGTCCTCAGTTTCTTTGACACACCAAAATGTGCATCTTGTGGTTCACAGCCTATACAAAGAACTTGATACATGCCTTGTAAGGCCAGAAAGTTTGGCTATTCCTGGGTGCACGCATTTTCTTATTACACATTTGGGAGGGTCTGTGCACTCCCTCAGTGAAAACAGCTCTGCACACAGATATAAACCCATGTATTGGAAAGCAGAGAGACAGATGGCCTCTATTACTACATGTAACCTAAAACAGGACGCAGATGATCTGAAGCAATTAGAAGAGGAGATTTCCTATGTGAGATTTTAAAAGAGATTTCATTCATCATATGCTTAGTGGCACAGCTCTAGCTCCAAGGACCTATCTGAGGCAGAGATTCTAAAATATTAGTAATAAAGCTTTTCTGTTCACTGTAACATTATGATTGTAAAGTGTTAGTTTGCATGAGCCCTTAACACCAAAAGCAACTGATATGCATCACCCCAATTGCTGTGAGTTTCCCTTTTTCAGGGGAGTCATGAGAGTGTTTCTCCACTTCCTTCATGTCAAACCCACTGTAATTTTTAGGAACAGTTCAGCAAACACTTATCTGGGACACTCCTTTCCAATGACCTTTCCCAGCTCACCTTGGCCCAGTGGCGATGGAGCAGGGAAGGCTCCTGTTTTCAGGCCTAATTGTGTGGGAGGAATTGGCCTGTTCCAAGGAAGCTATGAGAATGTTTGTTTGGCAAGAGTGTGTGTGCTGGCTTTGCCCCATCCACTGAGGCTGCTCATCTCTCTGGAATGCTCCTTGCCTGCATCGAGGGGATTACTGGGCAGGGGGAAGGTTTTTATCCTGTAAACACAGGTGATTACGTGGAGCAACCACTTCTCAGCAACACCTATGAGACAAAGGGGTGAAGTGGGAAGAGATCATCCGAAAGAGGGACCTAGAGAATCAGAATCCTTAAATCCATATTTAGTTCTTGAGCTGATTTTCTCATAAGTGTTGCTTCTGTGTAACTCCTCCTATGTAGCAGAAGTCACTGTGAAAAGAAAACCAGTGTATGTGCACGCCATGTATCATAAATCACTTCATCATACACTGAAGCATGGCCAGTCCGGGGTGAAAACCAGGCAGATATTTAACATGCCATGGCACAGCAGCTCCCCAGAGCAGATTGCAGTGGGGCAGGAAGAACACCACAAAACTGCAAAGACTGAGTTAGGTGAGATGTAATTACCAAACCTGGACTATGTCCAGGACACTGGGGCAAACCCTCCTGCCTCTGCAAATTTGATTTTAACAGCTTTAATTTTAAACACCTGATAGTCATATTTCTTGCCAAGTTAACAGATTGCTGAGAGAGGCAGCATTTCCTAAATAGAAAAAAAGCCTTAGAAAATTAAGAAAGGAAAGAAAAAAAACAACAAGAGTTTCCTTCTATAAGATTTGTGACACCTCAGTGGGAAACCATGAAATATCCACTACAAATACGTATTTTCTGGGTTGTAGGTCAGCTTAACTCATAGCACCCCACAGCTCAGGTCAATATTTTTTGCATGGAAGTGATGAATTGTAGAAAGTGAAACTGCATAGGGGCATCAGCAGAGGGAATCCAGGTCAGAGCAGTACAGAAAAAAAAACAAACAAGAAGAACCTGCCTAAAATAAGAAGAAAATTCAGCTTATTTTGCTATTGAAACATATTTGTGCCCCAGCATTTATTGATGACAATGCAAATATGCACCTCTGACAACCAAATGGTTTGACACACCAGGTTGCTTTTGTGGAATTCAACTGTATCTACAGCCCTGCAACAGAACAAGCAAAGCAAAATGAACACCTGAAAGAAAACTTCTTGTATAACACAGGCTCTCAGGATATCGGGAGGAACACTGCTGACCTTGGCGACCCCTGAGATTTGCCGTGTGAGCAGAGCAAATCAGTTCTCACACCAATTTGCAAGCTTTGGCATAAGCAAGTCCTGACCCTGCTTTAGCACAGGGGGATGGAGTAGGTAATTTTCTGGGTTCTCTTCCAGCCAGAAATTTTTGTGATATTAGGGCCCACTCCCAAAACCTATAAACCAGGTTCCAAAAGATAATGGAAAAATAATAAAGCATCTACTACTACAAGCTGTTAGGTGCTGCAGGAAGCCAATGCTACCCTGCAGAAGGGTGCCCCATAATAGTTTGCAGACGAGTGGCTGTAAGTAGAAGAAGCTGTACTTGCATCACCCTGAAGTAACAAGAAGCACATGGAGAATCTATTTTCCTGGCTTTTTCACCCAAGTGAAACAACTTTCCCCAGTTGCTGCTGAAAGGAATTTAATGAAATAATCTATATGTGAGATTACTTCCATGTTTGCACAAAACATGAAACAAGTGTTTGGGACTTGCTCTGTCCCATTTTCAGGCTCTGGTTGTGTTGTACATGGGACACATTTATCTCAGATGGAAAAAATCTGCAGCATTGATTTCCCTGGTGTATGTGCTGCTCACACTAGGGTGGTGCATACCACTCTAAGAGCAGAGCCTGAGTTGTGGCTGCTGAGCATGTGGGCCTGAGTCACACAGGAGCATCAATTCCCAAAGGGGAAGAGGAGGGCTCAAGTAGGTGCAGGTGTGCCAGCCTGCTGAGGATGCTGCAGGCTGCAGCCTCCTGCTGTGCAGAGCTTACACCAGCGCTGCCACCCTGTCCTGAATATCTCGAGTCTGAACAGAGCCACCATGAGAAAGTGCCACTTGGGGGTTTAGGGACTGGCCACAAAGCCCTGCAGCCAACCAAAGTCAGGGGTCAGCCCTCAACAGCTTTGTTGTGGGGTTAGCTTGGCGTGTCCAAGGCAGTTGATGCCCAGAGAATGCAGCAGACCCAAGCTGTCATGTATTGCACTTTTAATTAGCTCTGCTGCCTCATTTCAAGAATGGGAGTGTTTACACTCACTAGCCAAAAAAGTAGTAGTATTATTATAGCTTTGCTACATGCTGGCCTGTTCGCAGGTGCACACTGTTAAGCAAGAAAGTACAATTCAGCAATTGAACCAAATAGCAAAATGTTCCATATTTCACAGTTTCTCCAGCAGCCTGGGAACAAAACACAGATATACTTTATTCACCCTGCTGGTGATGAAGCTCAGACACTCATCAGATGTTTGTTGTTGTTTTTAACCATGGTATAGAGAAAACTATAGCAGAAACCATTTTTCTTTCCCTTTTAAAACCCTTGTATGTAGAAAGGAAGCAATGGCTTTACACAGCTATTTGTCCATTACACAGCTTGTCCATTTTTTCTGAGCAGGGTAATGAAAAGGACCAGAGCAAAACTTCAGCTTCAGTTCTCCTCTGGTGTAAATCAAGACAATTTCACCACAGAGCAGTGGAGCTGTCAGATAGTGCACACCAGGATAGGGTTAGGCCCTCTGATACAAGTGTAAGAGACTAATTGCAAACACTGGGATGAAAACAGCATTTCTCTCTTCTTTTGTGTTACCCTATGTCCTCACCTCTGATATTCTCTCTTCTAGAACTATTAATGAATTGGGGCTTCTTAATGTAAAAATGACTTTAATGAATTGGCAAGCAGAAAGACATCACCTTCTCTAACCAGCAGGAAACCCTTCTCTACCCTAGCCCTGAGCTTTCAGTCACCACTGGTTGAGGTTGTCTATAAATGAGGACAGGCCCAGTGTCCAGCCATGGTCTGCACCTTGCAGTCTCAGCACACTGAAATTCCACTCTAAGCCCATTACATGCATTGGTATCCAAAACCTGTGTTATTGGTGACTTAAACAATTGATTTACTGATTCCTATGATACTTCAGTGTCCTGATTTCAAAATATTTAAGGAGATAATTCCTTCAAAATATAGGCTTAAGCACTGAGGTGTTTTGGAATTAATATGAAAAACAAAAATACCTTTCTTGTTTTTTGGGACAGCGGTGCATTGAATCATTATTTTTCCTAAGAAAGAGAAGTATTCCTTTTTCACTTAAAGACTTCATGATAACCTCATGCATGGCTGACTTTAGGGCTTTTATGCCCAGCTCATATCATCCCAGACAGAAAGTAATTCAGGCAATTAACCCTGCTACAACCCCAAAAGGTGCACAGTGTCATTGGTCTGCTTTAAAATTGCAAACACATGGAAAAACAGTGGTTCAATTTTTCTTAATTGGAGAAAATGACCACACTCGAGAAAAAAAAAAAAAAAAAAGTTTACACTGTTCTAATCACAATGAATGAATATACAAAAAGCCCAGCTGCACACCTTCATGCTACATCCCAATAGTTTGAAAAGCTTGTAACAGACTGGCCTAGCCCAGGAAGTCTGTTCAGAAACAGACTGAAATCACTGTCTTGTGCTATCTGGGGGGGACCCAACTAACTCCTTTATTTATGCCTAAACATGCATAGCTTTTAATGGGAAAAAAAGAAACACAGTAAACCCTTGTGATATTGCCTATAATGTATTGCTTCCACCACTTCTCCTGCACACACCTGACACACACACATGCACACACACAAGCATGTTAATTTTTACTGCTGAGGAGAAGCCTGAGTTTGTTTAGATTTGAGACAAAAGCAGCAGTTCATCACCTCATGTCGTTCTAAAACCCTGACATTTACAGATCTCTTTCCAAACCAGTTCATTAAACACTGCATGCGTCTTAAGGCCATATGCAGAAGTACAATTTAGAGTGTATATTTTATAGGTTTCTTTTTCTGGTTTACCCGCTGATTATTATGTGCTGTAAAATTTCAATTATCCCAACCAGTCAGGAGAATAAAAAAGGGAAAGAAAAAGTAGGTGATGGAAAAGTGTGTGTTAACAAATGCCATAGAAAAGAAGCCAATGTGATACTCAAATTTCAGTGTTATTGATGTCCCTTTCTCTTCCCACAGACAGATTAGCAGTATGAATAAAAAGCACAAAATGACCACTAAATAATCTCTCTCATTCTTGCATGCAGCAGATATTTCAAACCACTGTGGATGAATCCATGGGTGAAATTTATCTTAGCTTTCCTAGTGCAAACTCACAGAGGAACAGTACAGCCCAAATTAAGGGCTGAATTTGGCCCAGCTAGTAAAACGAAGGACTTGAAAGAGATGAGAATATGCCTGCAAATTTTCCACATAACCTGTAAGTCAAACAACCCAATTCTTGAGTGTATGTCTGCCCTCTCTGTATGTGGGGCAGACGTACAGGGCTAAAATGGCTACTGATATAAAGGAAAATGTTCCCAAATAATTTCACTTTTGTCCATTTACATCATTTACAGTGACACCCAATGCCCTTAAGAGCTGCAAACACAAAATGCTGTACCTGAAAAAAAAAAAAAAAATCACAGAAAGGGCTGGGAAATTTTTATTCAGTGTGCCAAACCTATAAAGCTGAAATGGTGAAACTTGTAAGTTGTCCCTGCTAAATGCAAAATAGAGGGTATGTAAACATGTGACAATATGAAAGGTCTCAACTGTATAGTGACTTGTCCAAGTAATTTATTATACATATGCAGTTGATTTAACTGGGCACCACTTTCTCATGAATGATGATTTTTAATGCATGTTCAGCTGGTAGTCATAGGCAATTTCTGTAGTGTCCAAACTTGTTAAGGCAAACAATTTCTCACCAAAGGGATTCCAGCTGATTAGGCCTGAGCCCATTCCCATGTGTGTATTTTCTGTTGTCTTTGCTGCTGTCAGGATCACACCTCTGTGGGATGCCCCTAAGTGTCCACAGCCTGCACACCTAATTTTTGAAGGCTGGGGAAGCTTGGCAAATGTTTTCAATCTCTCTTTGCTTTCAAGAAGTAGACTTCTTTGCAACAGTTTGCATATTTGTTCTGACTTGCTACTTTGCTGAGCAGTAACCTGGAAAATGCACAAACAGAATTAGGGTAGGACACCGAAAACAGCTGCTTTTCAAGAAATCTCTCAAATCTCGTTTTCATGTTGAAGAAATAATTTTGACTTCTCTAGAGCTCCTGAGTGAACAAAACAGATACCTTTAGCATGTCCCACATAAAGTTATGCAATACCAAGCAAAACAAAGGAAATGTGCTGGCCTTTATCCAGTTGAAATCCAAAGCCTTTGGACACTCTTATGCAAGATGAGCAATACAACGTTTCACTCCAGTGCTGAGATCCACTGCTGCAGTGCTTTCCTGGCAGAAATGGGGCTGGAGGCTTTTTCCTCCTTAAAAGTAACAAAAAATATGCTGTAAAACAATATCAGAAGAACTAGGTATATGTGGCACTTTATTTCTTCTTATTAGGTCAAACTGCAAATTCAAAGGCTGCATAGAAGCTTCCACTATCATTGAGTTATAACTAATTCCTTGCTCACAGGCTATGAACTGTGGCTCATGGGGAGAACATCCTCTGTGTTTTCATCTGTATGTGGATCTGAATCTTTGTTTCAGGTGCAAACTTAAGTCATCTTTAACTACAGAAATGTGATTATAACATAGGAGTTCCCCTATGAGTTCCTTCTCTGCTTCCCAGTCTTACAGAAAAAAAAAAAAAACACCCTGCAACATACTTTTTTCAGGTCATAGGGCAGAATTAGCTGAAATGGAAGGTAGGTGAGTATTTATCTTTAGAGTTCATGGGGTTTACCTGGTATAAATTGTTTATATTCATAGCAATGCATTTGTTTCAATTTCAGTTCAGGATGATATTTAAACCTGAGCTTTCTACACTGTCAAATTGTCAACAGCTATCATGTCCTCTCAGCATGAAGTCTTGCATTCATTTCAAAGCAGAACATTAGTGGCAGCATGACTGGAATTCTGTAGGCTTTAACTGCCAAGTTTGTGCAGAGAGATTCCTGCAGCAAACTTCCTTCAGCAGGCATCTGCATGGCACAGTGGTAACTGAACTAGCCCTAAGTCAAATTTCCGGAGCAGGATGTGATCCCAAGGAGAATTTTTGTTAACTTGGTAAAAAAGCTAATCCTGCTATTACCATAACCCTCTGTAGCCTCTTGGTGGAGCAGGAAGAAAAAAAAGTCTAAATTACCAAATGTGATCCTTACTATTTATGTCTTCCATTTAAAAGGCTATATCTAACATTCATTTTATTTTGGGGAAGGAAATGCATTAGGAATTATGCTTAGCAGATGAAATTCAGAAAAGACTGAAAGAGTTAGTATTCTCATTTCTGCCAGTGAAGAATCTTAGCAAGAGCCCAACAGCTCAGGTGCCCACAGGAGGAAGCCTGATTTCAAAACTGAGCAGCCAGGAGGATGCAGGTGCCCCAGAGCCATGTTTGGATGGTGTAGCCTCCATCTAAAATGCCACACAGAGTCCATGGGAATTGGCTGGTTTGCCTAAGGAACCCCAAAGGGTACTTGCACTGGCATAAATAAGTGAAGGTGCTGCAGCCTGTCAGAAAGAAAGCCTGGCTAGAGAGACCCAGGAGGGAAAATTTTCTGTTGTTCAAATAAACCTGCTCAAATAGCTGCTTTTCTTTCTCCCCAGCCATCTTGCATGGACTCTCTGCTTCACAAGTAAGACAGCCTAATGAAAACACAGGACTTTTATCAAATTTCTCTTTGACTTTTAGCAGAGGAGGCAAGGATTTATGAATATCTCCCAGGAGGGCCAAGGTCTAAATGTAACAGCCAGAGGCAAGCCACAAACATTGGAAGAGAAGAGCTGGCATGGAGCACCAACCTTGCCAGTGTTAGGGAAAAAAAAGGAAAAAGGGAAAAAAGGAAAAGGGAGAAAAGGAAAAAAGCCTGCATTGGACCTGCTTTTTGAATTTGAGACCATCCCAGAAAACAGAGCAGAACCGTTCTGGGTCCACATCAAAAAGGAGCAAAATGGAGATGGAATACATCTATATAAGAGGATTGGGAAGTAGAAGGAAAAGCCTACTTTTGTACTGGTTGCCTCTCTGCATGACTGAGGAGTCAAAAGCAGCAGTAAAAATGGCTTCTTCCATTCTGGAAGCTCCAATGTCCACAAACCCCATGGCTGGGTTCTAATATATTGATATTTATTGATTACTGCCTTTGGTAGCCTAAATTAAAAACACATTGTTGGATGTCAATATAATGCATTACAATGTTCTTGTTGACCAGAGCATAACACAGATAACCAGGATCAAATCCAGCCTCAGATCCTAATCCCAAAGCAACCTTCCCTTATGGGATGGCAGAAGGTGATTAAAGGGGTGGAAGTATGGGGTCAGATGCTGTCTGTAGGTGTGCCTTTCCCTGGTTCAGTCATGCCTAGAGGGACAGGGTGACACCAGAAGGAAGCATCTAATGGCCCCCTTTAGCCGGCAGTGAGAAGGATCTGTGCCTTGTGAGAGAGAAGGATTAAGAGGCCTCATCTCCAAAAAAGAAGGCTGCAAATTATTTTCCTGGCCCATCTTGCACACCTACATTCCTTGGGGACAAAAGGACTGGTTGCTAGACTAAAGAGCTTTCTCTTAAGAAAACACATGTGAGAAAGTGTTAAAATGTGCAGTGTGGTATTTTGGTTTCTACATCCCCTGATTAAAGGTTTCTTGCCTGGGGAAAATGGAGTGGAAGAAAAATATCCCCTGGAAATATCTGCATAATTTACTCCCACACACCTAGTGAGAGATTTACAATTGAACAGCAGTTCCCCTGAAACCATCACCACATTGTGCTCTGAATTACACTTCTGTACTCCTACCTGCAAATGATACTGTTAATTAGTTAATGGTTGTAAAGGCTTTGGAGAAGAAAAGAGAACTCATTAAATACCATTGTTCTGCTTTCCAGTGTGCAATGTTCCACTCTTCATTAATCTCCAACCTCTTCCCCAACCTCTTGCTTCATGTTCTCAAGTAGCAAATTAGTCTGAGATATACATCACGGTTCAGAATGTGTTTCCTGAAACTTTAGTTTCAATTTTATTCTAGAAAATTTCGAGCTGGTGTCTTACATGAAATTGCCAAATGAAAATCCTTGATATATGTCTTGAAAACCTCCCTTTTGATAAACTAAAACTTGCTTTCTTTTCCTTGTCCTTTCCTATAGACAAGGGAAATCTAATATATGGAATGAGATTTTTCAAAGAAGTTCAAACCCCACTGAGAAGAGCAAACAAGCATCCAGTTGCTCAGAAGAGCTCAGCATGCAGAATACTGGGAACTAAAGCTTTTTTCATAGTGCTGAAACCCACTCTTTGCAGCACACCCTGGTGAGAGGCATTTGAAAACTTAGCCCCTTCTGCCACCCAGCCAAATTTAAGATCGATTTGTCCTTAAAATTCCTGGATGCCTTCACTGAGTATAATATCCAAGTTATCAGGAGACCTGTCTGCTTTCTCTAGTTTCTGCTTTTGATGGCTGATCTGTGCTCCTTGCTGTACTTGGGAAAAGATGCCCACAGCCAAACCTACAGGCAAGAAAAAAGCCAAAAAGGAAGTGAGAAATGTCCTTTAAGAGCAGCAAAAAGACAGCACAGAAATCGTACCTGGAGAAAACAACCACGACTATCATGTTAAACAAGGGAAAGGGCCTGAAAAAAAAAATACTTCCATGACAACAAAGTCTGATGGTCACCAGTAAAGAGAGGTTTAATTTACAATTGAGGTGGTATCTCTGTTCTGACTGCTTTTACCACAATTTATTTTGTTGTGCGAGCCAAGATGGAAGTTGAAGATGATCTAGGCAGTCACCTGATTCCTGCCTGGTACTTTCATTATCTTTTATTTTAAGCAGTTCTTGCCTGAGAATTGGTCACAGTCAACTGCCTTTCCTACAATGGCAAATCCCATAAAAAAAAAAAAAAAAAAGAAAAAAAAAAAAAAAAAAAAAAAGTGGATTTCCTATTTCCCAGAGGCTGCCATGAGGGCAGAAGAGATGAAGCTTTTATCTCCTCTGGCAGGTAAGGTGGGGACATGGCAAGACAGAGAAAATACAGATATTTTGCAGGTCTCATAGAGCAGAAAGGCATAAATATACCAAACACATTCACATACTAATTCCTGCTCCAGGTCTTCAGTTTCTGAAAGAGCTTCAAAATATTTCTTAAAGGTCATTAAATTCTTTCTCTCTCTTTGGATCCACAAAATTCAGCCCCTGCTCACAAGGAGTGGATAGTCTGAAAAAAAAGAGAAATCTCAGAGAAATATTAGCAAACAGTCAAATTACAGATTTGTTGTGCTACTGAATTCTAAAGGGCATAAAGAGTCTGGGAACAGAGCTGAGAGCTATTAACTGGTGATTTGTTTCCAGACCATGCAGTCAGGCAGGGTTCCAGCAGAACCTGAAGCTTCATCTTTGGTCTTCAAAGGGTGCTGCAGCCACAGCAAACAAATCCAGGTGCGGCTGGAATAATCACCACCTCATGTTATCTTTGCAGGGTTGTTTCTCGTCTGCCTGAGCTCTGGGAATACTCTTACAATCACACACCAAGTGCCTACTCTGAGAATGTCTCTCGATGGTTTAAGTATCATGAGCTTGTCAGGGACAGGGCAGTGTTGGCACTTAAGTGGTTCTGCACAGAAAACTGCCACAGAAAACTCAGATACTGAGGGATGGGGCTCCTCCTCCTAGGTGGAAGCCAAGTGTCAGTTCTGCAGCTGATGACACTGATTGCATACCTAGGCAGGAGGTCCAAAGAGGTGGACTGGCTCCTGTATAATTTATAAATCTAATTCCCTGCCCTTAGTGGCACTGAACCAGCATCCTGCAAACACATGTCCCACAGGAAATTCAGAGAGGGGCAGATGTACCTCTCCTGGTACATGGGTTGATTTTCAAATATTACTTGTGGTTCTCTGGAGGTGGCTGGAGTTCTAGGAAGGAAAAGAGAGTGTGAGACACCATCTGGGACTGACCATGAGGTGTGATGGGACTGCCGTGGCTTCTGGGCCCCAGACAGGTCCCATTGGTGATTCTGCATCCTTTTGTGTGGTTCCACCTGCTCATCCAGCATGTGGATGCTCCTGCCCATGTGAGCAAAGCTGGCAGGAGCCCACAGGATGTTCCTCACACCCTGCAGGGCCTAGGAAAGGTGGAAAAGCACTTCTAAGAAAATGCCGCAGAGAGCACAAGGACAAGGATAATCCTCTAGGTGGCACCCAGAGACTCCAAACTTCACAGAGAGCTCTTGACGGGGCAGCACAGATGCCTCTTCAACCCGTGCCAAGCCCTCGGCAGCTTAAACTGAGTTCATTTTGAAGCAATCAGCTCTTAGGAAACGGCAAGAGGTCTAAGGAAAGGTGCTTTACAGGAAGCTCCGTGTTAGAAATTCTCATTCGTAGGAGGAGCTGATTGAAATCAGTGAATGAGGGTTGGGAAAAAAGGAGGTGTTTATCAAACAGTTATGGCCTTTCCTATTATTATTTCCCTTAATAACACACAGGAGTGAAGTAGAAAAGTCCTTGTTTTGCTCTGTTAATGATTATATCTATTCCAGCACAGTTTGTGAATCCAGTGCCTGGTCTTTAACACTGCCTAATTCCACGTGTTTCAAAAGAAGATAAAATGCCTGCAGAGAGGATAAATACAGAACAACCTTTCCTTATGGAAAGTTCCCTGCTAATGTGCTTAGTTATGTGATCAATCACAAAGGTTCTAACTCCTCTAAGCTTACATCAAGTGCATATAAAGCCTATTGTCATTGCCATTATTTACAGTCGCATCAAGGGTAAAGCTGTGGCCCTACAGTCAGTGCAAGTTCACTGCAGCAGAACCAGGATGTGGCTCCTCACTTTTTTCAGGACTCTTTCCATGTCTGAGCTCCAAAGTTGCATCATCACTATTCCCACAGCTTCGTCTGGATTGTGTGGGTGTATTAAAACATCTGTAAAATGAGATCAAAGTGTTTCTGAAATATGAAGGCTTTACTGGTGAGGTCCTTTCTTTCTCAGCCCATGATTTCTGTGCAACCTAAGAGCATGCTGTCAGGTGAACTTTGTGGATTGAGATATGAACAGGTTAATAAGGAAAACAGGATAATATCTACTACTATTACTAATGGTAATGAAAATGCAAATAATACCCAAAGGAAACACGTACAGCTGCTCCCCACCTGCTGATTGATGTCCAGCCCATCCCAGAGCAGAGGTGGCATCTGGTCAACTCCCACCAGTTTCTGCACTGACCATGAGGTTCTGTAATGTGGAACATCCCTTTGGCCAGTTCAGATCACTGTCCTGGCCATGCTCTATCCCAGCTCCTTGTGTCCTACTCACTGGCAAAGCATGAGATACTGAGTAGTCCTTGATCACAGAGAACATTGCTCGGCATCAACAAAAACATCCCTGTGCTGTCAACATTCTTCTCATCCTGATTCCAAACCACATCACTGTACCAGCTACTAGGGGGAAAATTAATTCCATCCCAGCTAAAACCAGAACAATATCTACCCCATCTAGCATTTAAGTCATGCCAGCCCCCACACTTCCTGATTATCTTTCCTGTCTTTTGGTATATATATATATATATATATATATATATATATATATATATATATATATATATGTATATGTATATATATGTATATATATGTATGTGTTGCTATCATGCTGGCATGGTAGCGTGGAGAAAGGTTTTAGAAAGGCCTTGGGAATGGTAAACTGAGGAAAACGATACATTCATGTATGCCCCATTGTTTTAGAAAGGCTTTGGGAATGAGAGACTGAGGGAAAAGATACATTTATGTATGCTCCACTGTTTCGGGAAAGTCCCGCTTCAGCATTCCTCTGTAGACCCCCTTCTCCCCACCCCTGAGCAGTTCCATTGGACCTGGCCCCTGGGGTGGTTCTGATGTGCTTTAGCTGGACAGTATCCCCATTGTTT